TTCGAGTTTGCACAGCAATTTGAATCCATGAACGAAATTTCCTTTGACCGTAAACTATTCATAGAAGGGTGTCATAGTTTTCAATTACACGGGTTCTGCGATGCCAGTTCCACTGGTTATGGAGCATGCCTTTATGTGCGCTCAGTTAATAAAAACAATGAAAGCATTTGTAAAATATTATGCGCCAAATCTCGCGTTTCGCCAATAAAAACCGTCACTATTCCGCGACTCGAGTTGTGCGGAGCATTATTATTGGCACGCCTGTACCGCGAATCGTGCGCCGCATTAAACGCTGTACCGGCCAAGGTGATTTTTTGGTGCGACTCAACCATCGTACTACATTGGTTGAACACATCCCCACATCGGCTTAAAACTTACGTCGCAAACCGTGTAGTAGAGATACGCGAAATTACCGAGTCACATGCGTGGCGCCATATACGATCCGAAGACAATCCTGCGGACGCGGTTTCGAGAGGTCAGTTACCACATGCCTTCTTAAAAAACAAATTATGGCATTCGGGTCCCGCGTGGTTGACAAAAAACGATAACGACTGGCCTAAACAAATCCTACAGACCATCGAATTACCAGAATTAAAACAAAATATATGCTTAGTCGCGACCGTTATCGATCACAGTATATTAGAAAAATATTCGTCCTATTCTAAACTATGTCGAGTTATAGCTCATTGTCTTCGCTTTCGGCCGAATAGCACATACCGAGGACCGTTGCGTCCTGAGGAAATAGATAAGGCAGAGTTACGAGTAATAAAATTACTTCAAACATCTCATTTCTCCGACGAACTTAAGAAACTAAAGGATAAGCATCCGTATCGGGGCAAATTAAGCAATTTAAGCCCATTCATTGACCAAGACGGCGTACTACGCGTCGGAGGGCGTCTCCAATCCTCAAATTTGACATTTTCACAAAAACATCCAATGTTACTCCCTAGCCGGACTTACGTCACCGATCAGATCATCCGCGAAACCCACGAACGTCATTATCACACCGGGATACAAAATACGCTATATATACTTAGGCGGAAATACTGGCTGCTCGACGGCAAAAATCAAGTTCGAAAAATTGTGCGTACATGCGTGCGTTGCTTACGCTTCGATTCTCAGACGGTCGAGTACAAGATGGGTAATCTACCTTCGCCTCGCGTATGCGAGACAATACCCTTCACAAATACCGGTATCGATTTCTGCGGTCCCTTTTATATGAAAGAGAGAAAACATCGAAACCGTACGAGAGTCAAGGTTTACGTATGCGTATTCGTATGCATGACTATAAAGGCTGTGCATATGGAAGTCGTAAGCGATTTAAGTTCCGAAGGCTTCATAGCAGCATTACGACGATTCGTCGCGCGACGCGGCCTACCAAAAAACATCTATTCCGACAACGGGACTAACTTCGTAGGAGCGAACAATAAATTGAAGGAATTATACGTTTTGTTCAATTCCAGTGAACACATAGAGCTCATTAACCGATATTCAAATAATCATCATATCACGTGGCACTTCATACCGTCTAGCGCTCCTCATTTCGGCGGGCTTTGGGAGTCCACGGTTAAGCTCTTTAAACATCACTTTAAGCGCGTGGTGGGCGATTCTTTGTTTACATTCGAAGAATTAAACACATTTACCGTCGAAATAGAGGGCATTTTAAACTCCAGACCCTTGACGTCCCTTTCCTCCGATCCGAACGACTTGCATGTACTCACGCCCGCTCACTACTTAATCGGCAGACCATTGACGGCCCCTCCCGAGGGCGAATTGCTATCTGTTCCAGCAAATCGACTGTCGACCTGGCAACACATAAGCAAGGTACGACAAGACTTCTGGGCGCGCTGGCATCTGGAATACCTAAACGAACTCCAAAAACGCGCCAAATGGAT